TATTTATTAGTTCCAAGTTTCAGAACTTTGAAAACTTTCCCAAATCCTGGATCTTGATTTTTATGTGTCCGGAATCATGATAATTTTAGTATATCTTAATTAGGGAAACTTCGGGTAAGCCCGGACCTTAAGCATTAAGACTAGTTTAAAATAATAGAGAGCTATTTTGGTTATCTTTTGGTCCATGTTTTGAATAGAAATTGTGTGGTAGAAAAGTTTTAATAGGTTATGTTGTTAATTACTATTTATAACAAAAAAGCGGCAAAAATTTACGTACTTGTAACAGTGCACAGTGGTCCAGAATGCAGATATGTTTTGAGCCTGAAATTGAAACTTTAGACTAAAAGTCTCTTCTAAAAAGTTGTTCCTTATAGTTAGACCCTCATTTTTATGACAATGAATTCTAGGGTGGTTCCTATTATCATTAAAATAAAAAATCTAACTTTTTTGTTTGAATAAATTAAGGTATACATTCTTGTGCAAAGTTATAGCTGAGCTAATTTCAAGCAACTTTGTTTAAAATAACTTTTTTGTATCTCTTAAATTGGCCGATTTAGAACTATTTTCTTGAATTGAGTTTAGGTGGCTTTTAAAAAAACAGTTTTTTTGCTCTAGTTTTCTTATTTAGAATTTCTCAGAAAAGATGTCTTTAGATAACTTTTAGATCTTAAGAAGGCGCAAATTTTTGCTCCACAAAGTTTGTCGATATCTTTCGCCGATCAAGAGTTATTGACGTTTTTATACTAAAAATATGCACTTTTCATATGTTAATATCTCTGGTTGGGGCAAACAAAAAAAGTTTTCTTATGGCATTTGAAAGGGCGTATATTATTCTCAATAATATGACAAAATTGGAGGTATGTTTTTTTTTTAAACTCGTATAAAATCAATTTGAATTTATTCATATTTTTTACTATATTTGGGTATATCTTTTTTATTAGAAGAGATACAGGCAACAAATTCAGCTATAAAACATTCGTCTTAAAGAGTTTTAAAAATCTCTAGAAGATGACTTTCATTATAAATTTCAAATAAAAAAGTTATTGACAAAAGATGGATTTCATAGGACCACTCTAATGACAAATTTTTATAAAATGTGCTAGTACATTTGTTTAAGTATTTGGACATTAAGTGTCTTCAAAAAAGTTTTTGTTCTTAAAAATTCCCTTCTTTTGGTGTTTGCAAACGTCAGGGTGGTCCTCAAATTAGGGAATTTTTAAAACTAACTTTTTTGTTTTATAAAATAAAAACATGTGTTGTTTAAAAAAATTGTAGCTAAGATAATTGCAAGCAACTTTGTCGAAGAAATTTTTTTCTATCTCTTAACGTTCTCATTTTAGAGTAATTTTTCGGAGTTGACTTAGGGTGTTCCTGGAAAAAATAGTTTTTTAGCAATAACTTTTTTATTTGAAATTTCTCATGAAAGTTATCTTCTAGAGAATTTTAAAACTCTTTCAGACAAATGTTTTATAGCTGAATGTGTTGCCTGTATATCTTCTAATAAAAAAGATATACTCAAATATAATAAAAAATATTAATAAATTCAAATTGATTTTATACGAGTTTAAAAAATAACATACCTCCAATTTTGTCATATTATTGAGTATAATATACGCCCTTTCAAATGCCGTAAGAAAACTTTTTTTTTTGTTTGCCCCAACCAGAGATATTAACATTTGAAAAGTGCATATTTTTAGTATACAAACGTCAATAACTCTTGATCAGCGAAAGATATCGACAAACTTTGTGGAGCAAAAATTTGCGCCTTCTTAAGATCTAAAAGTTATCTAAAGACACCTTTTCTGAGAAATTCTAAATAAGAAAACTAGAGCAAAAAAACTGTTTTTTTTTAAGAGCCACCCTAACTCAATTCAAGAAAATAGCTCTAAATCGGCCAATTTAAGAGATACAAAAAAGTTATTTTCAACAAAGTTACTTGAAATTAGCTCAGCTATAACTTTGCAGAAGAATGTATACCTTAATTTATTCAAACAAATAAGTTAGATTTTTGATTTTAATGATAATAGGAACCACCCTAGAATTTATTGTCATAAAAATGAGGGCCTAACTATAAGGAACAACTTTGTAGGAGAAACTTTTAGTCTAAAGTTTCAATTTCAGGCTCAAAACATATCATTCCACCTAAATCTGCATTCTGGACCATTGTGCAGTGCGGGGTAAGACAGGCACTTTACCAAACGAGCTTTTTGCATTCTAAAATTTGATTAAATTATATGTTTGCTAGGCTTACTGAATAATGATGATATTCATGGTAATTGAATGAAACATTACACTTTAAACTGGTAACTATTTAGAATTCAGAATTCATCAGTGCTCCTTCGTTTCTGGCTCTCTAACCTTATATCGGCCTGTAGGTATATGCATAGAGCTTTATTCATATTTATTCAACTTAATTGGTTAGCTAACTTTTTGCACAGTAGTCGAATTGATTTGCAGTGTTGAAAATAGTTATTCAGCATGAGCCTAATCTAATTTTAACAACATATTATTGACATTAACAATTATTATTGATCAAAATTATGTTTTTTATTAACAACATATTATTAACAACATTTTATTGAACAAAATTATGTATAATCGCACAAGGATGATGATAAAAATATAAGATGGCAATATATGTGCATCACAACAGGATTCCAATCTTTTAGTGCTGTCAAAACATTAAATTCGGCTGGCAAAAACTACACAAATTCATGTAAATTTAAGTGCTCTGAGAGCGACATATATGAGCGTCTATTTGGACATAAATTTGAGGCATAACAGACGCAAAATAAAGCTCAATCAAACGTACCTTTCGTCGAACAACGAACGTTTCAGTCTCGGAGCACTTACACAGCAAAAAAAAATAATAATTTTGATATCACATCAAAGTGGATGCACTACAATCATGTCGAAAATTTCATGTAATTTTTATGACCACATAAATAAACAAATGCAGTAAAAGCAGCGTAATGTCAGTTCATGCATTGTATTAATGATAATTTTGTCCTTTTTAGGAAGTAATATTACACCATATTTTCGACATGATTGTAGTGCATCCACTTTGACGTGATATGAAAATTATTTTTTTGCTGTGTAATATTACATGACATGTTTGTTTACGTCTCATATTTTATGTCAAAGATGGATTCCGTCACGTGTAAAATTAGCAATTTCTGTAACATCCAGTAGCACACGATAGATCCTTGAGTATTCTTTGCATTTAGTGGAGGCGAACCAGCCCAAGGCTGAAAGCCTCCTAATAAAGCTAAATAATAATAATAATTCTATGCATTTGACAGTTCATTGTGGGTCCAATGTGTCTCGAAATGTTCAAAATAATGAATAGTAAAATTACCTGTTTGTTTAGTTGCACTAAAACTGATTTCTAGTAAAAATGATGGGGTAACGGGCTTACCCACAGTGATGGACTTACCACAGGATTTCATTCGAATATTCTCAATAGTTTTCATAGACTCATCTCAGAATTTTTTTCAGTGCTCATTTATTTTAAATGATTAAGAATAATCTTGAAATTCTCTCTGGTATTCAAAGAATATTGTCTCCAGAGATGTCAGGTCATTACGCCAAAATACATCAGGCCAAAGTAGGTTAGGCCAAATAGGTCATAAGGTCAAAGTTCTTTCCTTGTTTAAAAAATAAGTTGTTTAAAATGCAAGATATCTTTGGAAAAATCATCAAAATTAGATTTCCTGGAAGATGGAACCGAAAAAAATTAAATTTATAGATTGTTTTCACTATTCTGAAAAAGTGTCGTCGGAATGTGGTCGTGATGAGCTCTTCAGGGTTTTCCTGGGTGGTGGTCTTTCTCCTGCTTCTGCAATTCCCTTAACGCCTCCTTTCGTTTCTATTTGGCCAGCGCCAGCCACTTGGCGTTCTCCTCGTCCCTGTTCTGATCTCTGTGAGTCCATGTGTGTCCGATCCCCAAACTTTCGCTCCGTACTTGTCATTCGACTGCTTAAACACATGTGGCTGCTTTTTCTGGACTTCGCATTCCTTTTCACCGGTAGCCTCGAGGATCACCAACTTCTCATACACTTCTACACAGCAAAAAATTAATTTTAATATCACATCAAAGTGGATGCACTTCAATCGTGTCGAAAATATGGTGTAATATTACTTGCCAAAAGGACAAAATTATCATTAATATAGTGCATGAACTGACATTACGTTGCTTTTACTGCATTTGTTAATTTGTATGGCCATAAAAATTACATTAGATTTTCGACATGATTGAATGGATGGAATTGGATGTAATATTAAAATTTATTTTTTGCTGTGTATTCCTACATCTTCCTTGTTGAGCAACGATGCTTCTCCAGACACCAAGCTCACGTATACGTACAGTACACTCTAATTTCTATCCTGTTGTTGTTGTGCTGGCTGCTTCCGAGCTTTCCGCATCCGATGCCCCTCCATCTTGCATAAGAAATACTTGTTTTTTATCATGACGTAGAAATTGATTTCCAATTCCAATTGACGAAATAAAGCACTGGTAGAATTTCCTTCTCTACGCCTCGCACATCTACATATGTACATAGATTTCGCACAGTTATGTTCATATCGTGATCCAACTATGCAAGAAAGTTCTCCCGGATTACACACTTAACTTTCCCGTTTTTTCTCAGCACCAACGCTAGATCGCAATCCAGGACCTCCGGTACATTCGAACGTAGAGCCTTTCTTTTAGTATAATGAAAAATTAATAATACATGCATAATGCACTAATTTTTCTGAGAAAGGAAAAGGAAAATTCGAAACTAAAGTAGACTAGCTTCATGTTGAAATTTTTATTTCTATGGAGGAGGTGAAACCAACATTGGAAGGCATCTTCATCCAAAATGGTTATGTTTGGAAACCAAACGGTATATTATTGATATTAAACCAGTTGAGCAGAAATTGTGTTAAAAGATCAAAAAACAATATTTGCATTTCGTTTAATTCGTTCAATTTATGTTACATATTTTACGGTTCAATAGAAACACCAGAGATAGTCCAACGGCATTCAAGTTTACCAACGATCCGTCAGTTCCGATGAAGTTTGTTCAGACGTACAATCCAAATCTCCCAACGAAGTTCGTTATCCACGGATGGCAAAACTCGATCAGCAGCCCTGTGTGCCAGCAGGTCAAAGATGCCTATTTGAAACGAGAGGATATGAACGTGTTCGGTAAGATGTTAGTCGGAGAACATTTTGAACAAGCGATTTAAAAACCATTATCCCTTTTGCAGTGGTCGACTGGAGCCCATTAGCGCACGATACCCTCTACTTTAGATCGGCATATGCAACTCGAGATGTCGGACGCCACGTGGGATCACTGATCGATCGAATGGTAACAGAACGAGGAACGAATTTGGACTCGGTTCACATCATAGGTCACAGCTTGGGAGCCCACACTTCGGGATTTGCTGGCAGTTCCATAAATTCGGGAAAGGCTTCCCGGGTTACGGGTCTCGATCCGGCACTTCCCGGATTCATTGATTCGGAACCTGATAAACGTCTTGACCCCAGTGATGCACGGTTTGTGGATGTGATTCACACTTGCGCAGGGATGTTAGGACATAACAAGAATCTGGGTCACGTGGATTTTTATCCCAATGGAGGCGGACCCAATCAGCCGGGATGCAATGGGATGGAGGATTTCATCGGAGCCTGCAGCCATGGACGATCTTATGTGTACTACGCAGAGTCCGTCAATAGACGCGATGGCTTCATTGCGTTTCAATGTGGCAATATGAACGAATTCAATAACAAACAATGTCAAACCGGTCCTGTCGCAATGGGCGACGCAGTTCCGATCGAAACACGAGGTACCTATTACTTGGACACCAACGCAGAACCCGTCTTTGGAAGAGGTTTAAGAAGGTGATATCATAGAATGTAGAAATAGCTTGTTTCATGCTACGATAAATAGTTTATTTAAAAGTGGATAAAAATTGCATAAATTAATAAGTAGATTTAGGTTTATAAATATGATCAAAGCTTGTACAAAATCGATTGATATTTGGCTTTCAATACATTCATTTCTTGAACACATCGACAAAAAAGATAAATACTACCAACCGTCATCAATCGATAACGTCTGTTCGAGCGATAATTGCATTTTCGGTAGTTTCCATTAGCACATCCTCTGGCCGAGGCTTAGCTTCAAAGGCAAGAAAACCATCAACGTCGTCCAACTCTTTGGACGTAAACTTGGCAGCAATCGTTGCCCGACCGGCAAACTCCGGCGTTAAACTGAAAGTGTTGCTGATCGTTTCACCCACTGCAATCTCCGAATGCTGCAATGGTGACTTGCGTTAAAGCCAAATTTCAAAATAAAAACAAACTAGATTTACCTTAAAAATCAATGGCTTCTCTATTCCCGATCCTTCAATCTGGAATATTCCCTTCCTGAGGGCAATCGGGAGCGGATTGAGTAGGGAAAAGGTCACGTCAACTGGGCTTTGCGAAACCGGTGTATCAGACAGTTTGATCTTGATGTCAGGTTTCCGAACGCGGAAGTCGTCCTGCGCAAAGAATTCGTAGTCCGTTTTCTCAACGGTAGCCAGACAGGAAATGTTGAACGCAGCTTGATCTCGTAGCTTCTTGAAATATTCATCGAAGGTGACCACTAATCTGACAAACTCCTCTGAGCTTGGCATCAAAGCGATGCTGAACGCTTCGGTCTTGACCATGTCTCGCTCTTTTCCCGTGTAGAGAATAGTTTCTACGTTCAGAGAACCGTTGACGATGTGAGTCGATTCCGAGGATCGATTCTTTACTTGTAGAATCTGCAAAAATAAAACACGCAATGATTATTTGAACAACCGATAAAGTAGGTTAGTTACAAACCACTGAAAATGATTCCCCAATCTTGATGTCATCTCGCAGTTCGAAATTGAAATATATCTCATTGAAGTCCTCGTTCAAGTAGTACCTGCTGAATGCACTATTGGTTTGTTTCAGAGCTTTCAACATGGTATCGCGTTCCTCTTGACTTTTTTCGGCAAACTTGTAGCTACTTGTGATATCCTCGCGTACCCAATTTCCAACGGCCTTGGTACTTATGAAATGGCCAATGCCTAGGATATCCTTTCTAATCAATTTCAGTGGATGAGCAGGCCCCGTATACCTCCAAAACACCTTATCCGCGTTGACTTCCGCGAATAGGAAGTTGTTATCATAGGGCTTTGCAATCTCTCCCAGTTTAACTGCCAACACCGAGGCCGGTCCACAGCGGAACATCCCATCCGACATCTCCTGAGGAGTAGCATCAATAGCCTGCCATCCTCCATAGTCTCCATCCGAGCTGATACCCAAATCAGGACGTTGCATCCAAACTTCATTCCACACGTGATAGTTCCAGATGGAATCCGAGTTTAACTCTTCCATTATCTTACCATTCTTATCCACAAAATAGTCCACTGTGAGTGAGGCCTGTGTATCATGAGCCGATGAGTAGTTTGTGATCACTCGCGATGGAATACCGATCGCTCTAGCAACTACAAAAGGAAACTTATCAAATCCATCAAATCCAATGCCATACCGACTTACTTGTTGAAACAACTCCAGCAAACACCCAGCACTGTCCAAACTTGACTGGTTTCTGCTTCTTGTAGTATTGCTGCATAATCTCCACCGATCCTACCCACTTGGTTGGAGCTGTCCCACCGGAGAAATCCCCACTCCAGTTTCCGAGTAACGCTCCATCGTCATCCGGAGAATTCACAGCGGCCGATATGGCCCTACAAACACGAATCGGATCACCTCGATGAGTAGCACTTACTTTGCCAACCTTGTCAATCAATAGCAGTGCACAGTCAAGAATGTGCTTCTCAAATTGACCAAACTTCCAGACCGACGGTCGCAGTCGGTTATAGGAACCTCTCCATATCAAAGTCGTGTCGTTCATAACACATTCGTCTCTAAGTGGTTTTTCTGCAAACGGATTGATAAAGATCAGAGAAATTCTTGCTTTGGATACCCATTATATTTATTACCTTCTAAATACACCTGATCATCCTTGCACCATGGATTGAACAGCAAATAGAATGGCTGCGGCATTGAGTAGCTTTTCCCGAATCCTTCGCTCAACAGTTTCGTATCGAAGTCCAGCTTCCACTTGGTCACAGAAGCCGTAGCCGCTGGTTTGACCAAAATCTCCAACACATCACCACTGATAAAATCGATGGCAGCTCCCCATTCCAGCGGATCCTCGATCAGATGCCGATACTGCTGAAGGGCAACCCCCACCAGCGATCCGTGACCGTGCGTTGGCCTTTCATCGCCGTCAACCGTGAAGATCAAACTCATGGCATCGCGACTTCGATCGAACGGTCGATCGCAGTGCACCCGCAGTCGAAAGGCTTCACCTCGCCGGACCACCAGACGGGGCAATGGTCCGTTCAGGCCATCCCTATTCATCAGCTCGAACCGCTTGGTGTGATGAAGCTTTCCATTCTCCTCGATGCACAGATCTACCTTCTTGATTGTCAACACGTCGGCAGAAGGGGCGTCTGTAAAATAAACAACGACTCTTTCAGACTGACTAATAATCAGAGAATAGAAGTTTTAAATATTCTATGAGAGAACGCCCACACGTATACATAGCAATCGAATTAGTCAGTTGACAGTTTGAGTAGTATTCAATGCAAATTGCTCTTAAAACTCACCGAACCGTACCACCTTGCACGGAGCACGTTTTCGCTAATTGCATTCATTGATTCTTGGAAATAATAACGGGGTGAAGTGTACGGACTCGATCCACCCAATGAATATGCCACTAAGCCTATCTACATATATGTCACATTGCCTTGTATGTAATGTATACGAGAAATTTAAATTTTGGGTGCTCTGCACATCGACTACGGGTTGTATGCTTGACAGACTTATCTGCATTTGTAGAATTTTTATCTAAGTTCATTTAACTTTGACGAAAAGGATAAAACGTAAACTAATAAGCCCTGTCCGTCACAGAGCACCGAAATTGACATGAGTTTTTCGTAGTGTGCAGCAATTAGGTCATAAGTGACGATCTAATGGAGCAGTTTCACGCCAAATGACGAATCGGAAAAACTCGACCATCTCCGATTTGCATGAAACGTAATTGTTTGTTATGGGCAATGATTCACATTTTTGCTAAAATTCGAGAAATTCTCTTATGAACTCTCCTCAGAATTACTATTATCGAATATTCCTCTGAATTGCCCTGGAAGAACTGTCTTGAAATTCATATTAGACTGCACACTTCAATTTTTTTAGAATTATAAATAAATTCCAACATTATTTTGATATTTTCTTCACTACTTCTCCTTATTATATACCTAGAGTTTTCAACATTTTTTTTATTACATTATTCTTCTTAAATTCCCATGAAATCAGGCTTCAACCTCTCGTTGAATCACACCTCAAAATTCCCTAGGAATGCTTCAAGTATTCCCTTGAAATTCATCTACATTCAGAAAGTCGCCAAGGATAGAAGAGAGTAGTGGGCGGGACATGTTGACACTACATTCTGCGCTGTTGGTCTCAAATCAGGTTGGTATAAAACGAAATGTAGCTCATCGAGCTAGAACATCGCGAATAATGCTTTGAATTATCGTTTCCAATTAACTTGGAAACCATTCCCGGACTTCCTTGGCATTATTCTTAAAATTCACCAGTAATTAGGTGGTGCTTAGAATTACATTGAAAGCTATCCTTAGATTTCACATGAAGTTCTTCTTACATTTGCCTTTGAAGCCCTCAGGATTCTTAAGAAATTCCGTGAATAGTTCGGAAAATACGAGAAGATCGTTAATTTTTTTTAATACAAAATTTCTATCCATAGAATTTTCTTTATATTCGCCCAAAATTCTTTACACTGTAGTTCCACAGTCGTAATGCTTGCATTTAATTCAAAGTCTCATAGAATGGTCCCATATCTCCATTATTTTTTTCTTTATTATAGAGATTTTTAACCGTATGGCTAGTTCATCTCTTACTCCATTAATTTAAGATTAAACATCCTAGAACAGTTTCAAAGAAATTTTTAAGGATAGGCTTAATATTTAGATCAATAGGCTATCTTTACAGCCATTTCCCCTAGAAGTCATCAATTCATCTGCATACTTTCAGTGTACTTTTTAACACTCTGAATACGGTGGGTAAAATACTTTACGCCGACTACGAAGCCTGCGAAAAACGTGTAACAGCAAGTTTGCAATGAAATAACTTAGCCATTTCTTGATGAATTTCAAAAATTGTGATACCTCTAGAATTCCTAGAGATTTAAATTATTGTAATGGTAGAAAGATTGAAAATATGATCGTCTACTTTTTTCAAAAGCGAAAAGAGTCGTTACACGTTTTTTTAAGGTGTGATTATGGGTTTTGTAAGTGGCTTAAGATCCATAATTTAGATTAATGGGCACAAATGTTCATAATTAGCCAGAATACAGTCATGGTTCCTATATATGGAACCTGGAGATAACGGAACGGCCCTCCGGAAGATTCGGAATATCCGTAAAAGTGGTTTATCCATAAACCCCTGATCCTAGAACTACGCAGTTTTTTTTCGAAAACATGAGGAACTGTGATTAATAATTTGGGTTCATGTCATAAACACGGACCCGGATGGCTATGGAACCGTCCTTCGGAAGATTCGGAGCATCGGTAAAATTGGTTTATCTATGAAACTGATTCTAGAGCTCAGCAGTTTTTTTTAAATCTCTTGGAACTGTGAAATAAGAAAAAAATTAGGTCGGGACCTAAACATGGACCTGGATTGGCATGAGACCGTCCTCTGGAAGATCTGGAACATCCTTAAAAGTGGAAACTGTTCCTAGAGCTCCGCAGTTTATTTAAAAAAAATATTAGGATCTGTGTTATAAGAATGATTTTGGGGTCCGTCATTCGAAAGAATGAATGGCCATTGGACCGTCATTCGGAAGATCCGGAACATCCGTAAAATTGTTTCATACACAAAACTGTGAAAAAACAGTGATTTTTTTCGAAAAATTCACAGTTCGAAGCGTTCTCAAGAAAACCACGAAGTTCTAGAATCAGTATCATTGATGCATTACTTTTACGGATCTTCCGGAAGATGGTTTCATTGTCATTCGGGTTCATGTTTATGTTACGACCCCAAATTATTTCGTATATCCGACCCTAAATTATTTCTTGTATCACAGTCACAGTTACTAGTGTTTTCGAAAAAAAAAACCGCGGAGCTCTAGAATCAGTTTCATGGATTGACCACTTTTTCAGATGTTTCGGATCTTCCTTAGCACGCTCCCATGGCCATCCGGGTCCGTGTTTATGTCATAAACCCAAATTATTTTTTATATTACAGTTCCTAATGTTCTCGAAAAAAAAACCGCGGAGCTCTAGGATCAGTTTCGTGGATTGACCAATTTTATGGACGTTCAGAATCTTCCGGAGGACCGTTCTGTTGTCTCCAGGATCCATATATAGGAACCATGACTGTATTCTGGCTAATTATGAACATTTGTGCCCATTAATCTAATTTATGTATCATAGGCCACTTGCAAAACCCATAAACACTCCTTTAAAAAAAAGTGTAACGACTCTTTTCGCTTTTCAATAAAGTAGACGACCCTATTTTTAATCTTTTTACAATCAATATAATCTAAAGACCCTAAAATTCTAGAAGTACCACAATTTTTGAAATTCATCAAGAAATGGGTATGTTATGCAGAGGCATCGGAGTGTTAACAAATCTCGATAACTTTTTCAAAGGGACGTATCAGCTTTTGTAAACAATGCATTTGATCGTCGATTTGGCGTAACTGGTAGCTCGCACACGCTTACTAACACCACTATATGGTAGGGGAAAATTTTCCCTATCTGATGGTAGTGTTAGCATGCGTGGGTGAGCTACCAGTTATCGAGAAATCTGATTTGAATCAAGCTCACAGTCATGCTCTCCATCTTCATTGAACGATGCACAATGAAGAAACGGCAATAATACCACCCGTGTCAATTTGTCAAAAAAAAAGTACTACATCATTACGTAGTAGGTATGATCTCTATTTATAGGTTGCGGTAAGAGATTATTGAAAAGCTGAATTAAAAAAGCTGTGGAGTGAAAAAGCAGTATGGCTAATAGGATATATAAATTTCAAAAATTACTCATAATAATCCTATTTTTGAGAACATTTTCTCGAAATGCTATTCGCAATTGACATAACTTCCAAGCCTTCCCGTATCGTTTATTATGCACAATATTGTCGTGGCATACTTGATTCATTGTTAAAAATCAGGAGAATTTCGTTCTGTACTCATTGATTGCTTTAAGGTGAATCGCTGTGACATCCTTATTCTTGGAACCACTTCGAAACATCAAGTGCACAAATATCAGCTGCTACGACATGTGCAACATTCAAATTGTTACTCCATGTTTGTTGCACTGCAGCATACATGAAGTAGCAATTTCAGGTGAAATGGAGCACCGATTTCCGAGATTTGTGTAATTGAAAATTCGAAGTGGAAGTGCATGTAAAGCCTACGTGGCGGCCATTTGTGGACTCTACAAGAAATGATTCACTAAACAACAAAAGTCATGGCTTTACCAAAAACAAACCACTGAATTCAAGAAAACATCTGTGATAATCGGCTCAAGATCACTCATTTTCATTGCCTGTGGTCGGTGGGCAATCATTTTGAATGAGCTTGAAACAGCAACAAGGTGCTCTTACATGCTCTTTAAGAAGTGGACAAGAGTGTTTTGATTTGCATACAACAGAGAAAGATGCATACCTAAGATGCACGATATGTTGATTAAACCTCATTCGGACTGCTATTCAGGAGTCGAGATTAAATTGTGTGTAGATTAAATTCATTAACATAGTTGTGCAATCCAACATATAAAGAACAAGAATCAGTAAATCCACCGTGTCGTCGCAATATCTGGAATTTCTAATTAATCATACCCATCGCTAACATCTTGCTATACTTTTCTCTTACGAGATAGAAAGTTCACAGCAATCACAATTGGAAAACAATTGATCGGTGTGAACCGAACGATTAATCAGCAGTTGATTTATTACCCTGCGGTTGAATATCGGTAATAACAATAATCATCACTACCGATCGATACGTATGGGAGATAGAACAAAGCGGATGCAATAGCTCCGAGCAGGGGAGCTGTTCTATTCAACGCTTCCGAATGAGATGATTGATTCTAATCATAAGTCACGATTCCTTCAGACGATGCAGTCTCGTGACAGCAACAACACCCGTACGCGGGGACCAGACAGCGTGCAATTATGGGTTGATTGTTATGAAGTCATCATCATCTGGTTTGGCGGTATGAATCCTGCAGATAAGATTTCTGGGGTAATGCAGCATTGAATCATCTAGAAATGCTTTTCAATTGAATTGAAAAGACATTTTCAAACATCAATCATCAGTCACACTTTGAGTAGAACACTTGATAACAATAAATCACCCAACTGGTCTGCATCACTGGACATGATTCAACATCTCACTGAAGTCGTGTGGCGCTAAAGTATGTC